CTCTCTCAGTGCAGTGTTAATGGACTGTAGTGTCCAGTGTGTCTGTATTAACCCCTCTCTCTCAGTGCAGTGTTAATGGACTGTAGTGTCCAGTGCCATCTCTAGCAGTTATTCTTTCCATATGTAGTGCGTCTATGTTAACGCTCACCCCTCTCTGCCTCTCTCCCTAGGCTCCGTGCACTGTCCAGTGGGGGGAGTGTGACGTCACCTCCCCCCTCTCCCGCGATGCCAAAGTACAAGCTGGCGGAGTACCGATACGGCAGAGAGGAGATGTTAGCACTTTACATTAAAGAAGAGAAGGTGAGGGCTGGACCTGCAGTCTCGCTGATTTGGCCACTCACACTATAGGGCAGTAGGAGGGTCTCCCCCGGTCAGCCGGTTTGAACAAGCACTACTGTCATCATCTGGGCTTCCTAAATTTCTGACAGCACTCCTCGTCGCCCTGTTTTCTTATTTTCTTTTCCTCCATACCTCTAACATCTTTTCCCCTCCCGTCTCTTCTCTTCCCCTGTTTCATTCGCTGCCCTCGTCTGGCCTGTGCGCCGGTCCCCTCTCCAGGTCCCAGAGGAGATGCAGGATAAGGAGTTTGCTGCTATTCTCCAGGAGGAGCCTCTCCAGCCCCTGGCCCTGGTGCCTCTGACAGAGGAGGAGCAGGTGAGGCAGGAGAGCCCCAGCCTCCTTTTCCCGGGAAGCCCATGGTCCCCAGGGGCCGCCGTGTGGTATGGGAACCACGCTGGGATCTTGACTTCACTGGGATAATCTGAGGCAGGAGATGGAGGTGCTAAAGCACAGACAAACAGACATGCTGCTTGTGTCTGCCGAAGTCCCTGCTGCAGTGCTTCCCAGTCCCGGGCCTGGAGGAACGCTCTGTCTTCCGGGTTTTGCTCCAGCCGAGTTCTTCATCACAGGCTGGTTGGTAAACGTGCTCTTAGGTCTTACAAGATCAGAAGTGCTTAGTACTGGGTACTGTTTACCAGTTGTGTTCAGGTGGGGAGCCTGAAGTTTCAGCGGTTGGCCCTGCAGCAGGAAGAAATGCTTATTTTGGGGGTGGTGTCTGATACCGAGTCACCCCCACGTGCGTCTGACTACCTACTAGAACTGCTTGATCAGAAATAACAGCCAGCGAGCTGAAGTCAGGTTGTATAAAGTCCTGTGCGCTCCAGCCTTTGGAAATGGTACATCTGACATTAGGAGTTCCTGACGCTCACAAGTGACCGAAAAAGCAACTTCATTGAAGTCTAAAGTAGTGAGCAGGAGGAAACTGGAGCACTCGGAGGGTACCCACGCAAATGCGGGGAGAGCGTACAAACTCCACACAGACAGCACCCCAGGTCTGGAATTGACCCCAGGGCCCCAGGGCACCAAGGCAGAAGTGCTCGCCGCTGTACCATCGTGCTGCCCAACTGTTGAGCCCATTCATAATAACACAGATCCAGTGCTGTTAAAGGCTCAGTCTGACAGTCTTAATCCATATGTCTTTGCAGAGAAACTTCTCCATGTCTGTGAACAGTGTGGCGGTGCTGAGGCTGATGGGAAAAGGTGGAGCAATCCCAGCAGGTGTGGCCAGAGGAAGGGGCAGCACCAGAGGCAGAGGTGAGAGCTGACTGATTAGTGTGGAGTAGCGCTGTGTTGATGATGTTTTTTCACTGTCTTTCATTACAGTAGATGGTTTTTGTAGGTTTATTGTGTGGCATTATTTTTGTTTTGTGTTTTTTTTTGGCATTTGCTTTATGCTCTTCATCCCTGAACACCCTAAAGAGCTTTCACATGTGGTCGTGGGGGAGGCTCTTTTCATTCCTTAGTGAAGTGCTGCCCCCACCTGGGAAGGTAGACGCACCACACAGCATCCATGGTGCACCAACGGCCCCCCTGCACACAAGTCAGGGGGAGGGGATAGAAACTGATACACTAGCTCAGAAAGGCCAGACAGTGCAGCTCGGAGGGGGTCAGGACCCAGGAGTTAACGGTCCATCTCTTAAGAACCACCCTGGGATCTTTAATGAGCAAGTAATTGGGGCCTCTGTGTAAATATCTTCTCTGAAGGATGGTTGTGCCTACAGCACAGTATCCCCAGTCACCATCCTGTCGCCTGTTTGAAAATCCTGGTCCAGAAGGAGGTTTTTGCTACCAGGCTCATCGCTGTGATCTTTTTCTCTGATTTTGCTTCAATGGCTTCAATTTCTTGAACTCAGTTTTACTCCCAAGTGACACTTTTACATCGAGCCGCCACTCGAACCACACACAAAAAACATTCCTCAGGAGGTTCAGTAGAACCAGTGCCAAACTGTCCTCTCTCCCATATTTGCTGGTTGTTTGTTGTGTGTCTGTTTGCATGGTGAGTGTGCGGCGTCCGTGTGTGAATGTACACGTGTGCATGTGTGAGTGTGCGTGCACATGCTTAGTGTCCATGTGTGAATGTACACGTGTGCATGTGTGAGTGTGCGTGCA